CTCTCTCTCTCTCTCTCTCTCTCTCTCTCTCTCTCTCTCTCTCTCTCTCTCTCTAAAAAAAAAAAAAAAAAAGTTTCTACACACGGAGGAACAGACACTTTAACTCAAAATTTAACAAAATGAAGTGCGTCCTAAATGTTAAATACTATGATAACACTGAATGCAAATTTGAATAGTATTTTCATATATAATACATGTTAAAACAAAAGTTATTATACGACACTAAAAGCTTTGGTTATTAATGAACAATGAAGTCGTTTATCTAACTGAGGACCAATACTGGCCCGCAGTTAGATATATGACCTTCGTTGATTGATGATCCGTAAGTGGAAATAGTTCAGTTGACTTTGAAATCAGCGCCATTACTCATCATTGTGCTCTCTATCTACTCCTTTTTAACATATAACGGAGGATATGCTAATAGAAGTCGATTACACAATCAGAATACCTCAAAAATGGAAATACTTCACATAACCCCGAAATACCCTCCCTTGATGAAAGTGAGATTGATACAAAGTTGTTGTGTAATTTCTTTCAAGATTTCTTGAAAACTCTAGAAACTTCTTGCTCATAATTGTCTTTTGACGGAACTCCTTGGCCAGATATACTGGTCTGTTTTCGTAACCAAACCTAGAATTCTCAGACTAACTCCAGAGGAAGTTTGCCACAGTTTCATGACGTCTCTATAGTAAACAAACTGCCAACGATAAAATTCATTTGATTTTGTTGCCGCTTATAGATTATGTTATAAACTAGTAAGTTGTCACCATATGTGTGTCGACCAGAAGTATTAACTGGAGTATAATGACAGCTTTATTATGCCCAAGAAGATAAATACTAGCCATTTATTATGGCATCCGTGGATGTTCAAAGTGCGTTTTTTATTTCTATTTGTTATTTCCACTCTAAACCCATATTTTGAAACCTATCTTTACTACGAGCAGTAGATATTATCCTTACAGATTGCTGCTCTAAAGTGTGTAGACTTCTTTCGCTTTTTTTAGTTAATCATAAAGTTTGTGCTACATATGTAGATGATTTTTATTTGATTTTATTTTTTTTATTATTATTATTTCGTCTATCTCCTTTGGCTAATGTAAAAGGAATGTAAGATTTCTTCGTCGGCAATTTCCCTATGGTTGCTAACAGCGCCGTCTCTTTTCTTCCGCGAATGATTCGGTCCCCCACGATACAGGGGAATGAGTCGTCTCACATTACGGTAGTTTGTTTACATTGACAGCAAGATGGATGTCTGGACTGTTTTAACGAATTCGACAAGGCGAAGCAAACCAAACCAAACTATATTTTGCTCGCGTTTTTCGTCAAGAATGCGCCTATAGGGAGTTGTGATTCCTTTAGATAAAAATGTGTTGATAGAATAGACCGTAATCAACTTCTTATGTGTATTTTTTATTTCTTTATCGTACTATTATTATCATCCCTGTCATATTGTTTCACGTCTAACAAGCCCGGTGTGATCTCTGGGATGTTAGTACTCTACACTTCTTTTTCCTCTCATGCAGTAATGGTCTGTGTTTTACATGCGTTGACCACATGTGAAATAGTGACGCATTCCTTCACCTTTTCTGATATGTTTACCTGAAAAATTGAGGTAATGCTTACCACGTGTTAGATGAAATGTGGGGTGCAAGAGCACTTTCGGGAAAAGTTTATATTGATAAAATTCTGACGGACAAGTACATACAGCCAACGAACAATATTTATGTTTAAAAATTTGACGCTGTGCACCTGCGGTTTTTGTATCGACATTCTCTCTCTCTCACTCTCTATCGAAACTACACCTTTCATCACGAGTAACAGTTGTCGGCAAGTCCTCGCTCCGGACAGAAGTACAGAGCGCCATGGATCCGAGGGGCGCCTTCCTGTTCCTGGCGGTGTCGGCGATTTGGCTGAGTGGGTCCGTTCGCTCAGCGGCTTTGGTAGGAGTCCTATTCTTCTCCTTCTTGGCGGCCGATCTCTTTTGCTTGCGGTTTTAAGTCATTATTTACTGTAATCGCTTTGAGGCTTCTGTCTCATCGCTTTGGCTTAAGCCGATCTCCGTTCATATCCTGCAGAAGCAGAAAGATTGTTTTCTTTCACTCACTTTTCATACACAAACGTGTGCACGCAAACACAAGTATTACAGTATTATATATATATTTTATGTATATACATATACATATGTGTATATAAATATGTATACACATACATATATACAAGCATGTATGCTGTATGTTTATTTATATATATATGTATGTATGTATATGTATATATGTATGTATATATATTATATATATACATACATGCTTATATGTATATATATATATATATATGTATATATATATGTATGTATGTATATGTATAGATATTTATGTGTATGTATATGTATATATATATATATGCACACACACACACACACACACACGCATAAATATGTATGCGTGCGTGTGTGTGTGTGTGCCTGTGGAATACTGCCATAATGAAAATGAAATTAAAGCAA